CATCGCACCTAAATATTATGAAGTTGCTCTTTGGACTTTTCCAATATCTTTCGATCTAACTACCGCACACTTACTAGAATTGGAACTATGCCGAGTACCCGATCACTACATATTCCCTTAAATATACGCATAAATACACAAATCATTTTCCCATTAAATTCATCATCACAATCACAAACGACTTAAGAAATACTGATTAAGCACCAAACGAATAGTTAAAATCGAATTTATTCACTTCCTTCAATTGCATTCAATAGCCATAGCTGATTAAACTCTGAATCAAAGCAAACAATAAAATTGCAATGTCAGTCGTTAACTTGATAGCGCGCTTGATATATGTACAATCCTTTTAGAGCAAGCACACAAGCGTATATGTAGAGATGTGAATATACTTCTGAGCATGTATTTGTGGTGGCAGCCAAGCACTGACTCCTTCCAAGAGCTATAGGTATATAATGACTTAAGCAGGCACCTGATGCTACCTACGATGATTCAATAGATCGCTTGTTAAGCTAGAGAAGAAAATGCTACATTTAAAATTCCACCGAATCATTTCGTGTAATCACAGTGCCAATTGCGATTCGGCTCGTTAAAGTTGGCAACTGCAATAATTTTGCCATCAAATTCATTAGTCAAATGCATACGTAGTTTTTCAAAACACATTCTAGCACACATTTCCAATGGGAAGCAAGGCTTCAATGTGATGCCATGCAATGGTGGTGCCAAAGCTGACTGACTACCAAGTTAATGATGACGATAACGACTAGTTAGGCGACGAAGGCCATGGCAGCAATGGAGGCATTGAAGGTGGTGAGCCATTCATTTTTCACTTGATCACAAGAGAGTTTATGCAGTCTAGTAAGTGTGTCTAGCTTTTTAACAACCCCTGCAACTATTTAGTGCAACACCAGCAACAACAACTAACATACTATAATCCAGCTTTTGTGTAAACGCAAATGTGCAGAAGCGTCAACTGGTCTTAAGTAGGCTGCAGCATAAATAGACGCGCGTAAGAATTGAATAGCGAGTTCGTTACAACTAATACAAATGTCAAATGCGTGCGTGTGCGGGTAGGTCTGCTGATTTTAGCAAAAAAAAAAAAGGTGGGAGCTTGTATTTGAAAATCGCACAGCGATGCATAAGCTTTGCTTGCATTATGGCATCACTGTCAAGTGACACATCTGACGTAACCAACTCCGCCTTCACGCGCAATCGCATGCACTTTGACTTGCGACACATGTCACAAGCAAGCAACTCAAATGCGAACTTGCAACATGTCACAAATGTGCGAACAAGCGCACGTAAGTACCTTTATATGCATATTGGCATGTACTTATATATGTAAGTGTGATTTCGCATTAAAGTACATGTGTGCTTGTAGCTCTTAAGCTCAGTAATTATGCGATCGATCAAATGCAAATCACCACCACAGCCACCGCCAACAATGAAAGGCCAATGAACCTACACACATAATTGCATATCTACATACGTCCTACCTCCATTACAATCCCATTTTGTACTCTTGTGTTGCATGCAACAAGCACGGCAGTGGCAATGGCTGCACTGGCAACACTAGCTCCCCAGCTGCAATGCACTGCTTCACAGCCACACTGCCCTGCCCGGCCCTGCCCTGCGCTGCATCAATGCCGCTCCAACACCGTCAGTGTCGGTTGTTGCTCTCCTCAATGCAGCTGTGCCGACTGCTATAGACGCCGCTGCTGTTGCAGGCCCAATCGATGCTGGAGCCACTTTATCTATTCATAGGCTTTGTATACGTTGTTGTTGTTGCTGCTGTTGCTTTTGTTGTTACTTTTGTTGTTGCTCTTGGTGATGGTAATTTTATATGCAGATGCGGTCAACAGTTTAGCCGCAATGTTGCACACAAAACTTGTTGTTGTGGCTGTTTTTGTTGTTGCGGTTGCATCTGTATTGTCTAGGTAGGCCGCTGCCGCTGCAGCTGCCACAACAGTTGCGAGTGGGGCGAGAGACCCTTTGGCGCATAGCGTTCATGTTGGCCATGGCTTAGCACAATAGCTTTGCAGCTGCGAAATTGCTGGCAGGCTACTGCTGCTGCTACTGCTGTAATATTTATCCGGCTTTTGTTTGCACTCGAGCGTAACAAACAAAAGGATAAAGGCGAAAAAATCTATTTAGTTCGCGTTGATTTGGCTTTAAAGCATTAGTTGGGCTTAGCTGAAAAATGTATGGTGGTTAATGGAACTCTTTTGCAGGAAATTGAATAAAAAACTTTTATGTGGGTAAAAAATGTTGACCAAAAAAATTTATTTGCAAATGCAGCTTTTTCGGTTATAGGATTTTGTTTTAGAATACAGAAATGTTAAAACTAACCTCAAGAGCAACTAACGAAAATATCAAAAATCGGGAATTTCGAAAAAATGACTAATCTAAGTATTTAGGATTAATATGGGATTTTTTGGTAAGAAGATAGAAAATGGAGAACTCATATCTTTGCCATGCGGAATAGGTCAATTAATCATTTTTTTGTGCAAAATTAAGGAGGGCTCCAAATTCAAAAGAAATACACTTATTAACCCATTCACGACCGAACAATTTTATTAGCCCGTTCACGACGTAAAACGCAAACATACACATAATTGCTGTACTACTTTACTTACTGTAGTTTTTTCAAGGCAATTTTAAAATCTTCTAAAATTTGTTCGGAAAAAATGTTTTTGAAGGCAACACAAAATTTAAAAGCTACTTGTTTCTCTTGTTCTTTCTTACTAAAAAACTTCAAACAAATGGCTTTAGCTCCTTAGGGAAAGCAGCTTAGCGCGCTCTTCCCATTTGCTCATTTCTGTTGAGGTCAGCTTGACCGAACATAGCCGAAATTATCAAAGTTACATACAGTCCAAAAAATTATACATTTTGCTATTTTCGAAATTTGACTTTTGCACAGAAAATGGGTTAATTTGGATTTGAGGTCGGCACTGCGTCGAATTGATTTTCTAGTTACACTCAGGCATGATTAGCTATTGCTCTAAAAGCCGAAACAATGTATTCAAATTCCTCAGGCAAGTCGTGAAACACACAGAGCTTAGCTAACCCATTCTCAAAAGAAAAAAAACAATCCACCTTACAAAGAAAGCGCCCTTTTCCGATCTCATTCTCCCAGCTGATGCGCACAACGAATCCGTGATGATATCTTTGATGACCATACGTATTTATGTAGTCCCCGGTTATTATATCCCCTAATCAGCCCTACCATGGACTCGTAACTAGCATTTTCTCTGTTAAAAATGGAACAATTTCGCTATTAAATACCATGTATACCCTTTTCATGGAGTGCTTAGCTGATTTGAAGACAGTACTATCACAAAAACGGCTGTCACAAGTCTTATTCAGAAGATCCTGTACTTGATAGCTCGTCCTTTATCTACTTGTCCCAATTTCTATCTTCGATCCAATTTGATGCTCCGAATGCCTGTAGTTTACACCTTCACCGGCTTCGTTTCCTTGATAACCGGTGTTTTCTCTTATCCGTAGAAGTTTAAGCTAATACCATTTCGAAACAATCTTCTTCTTCCTGCACAATTCCCAAAAAAGGCCCCATCGGTTTCCAATATCTTAAGTGCCCTTTGGACGTCACTGTGTGCTACGAAATTGCTTTCACGCCATCTCGTCAGAGTCAAGAGCACTTTCAGTTTCTAATTTACCAAGACAAAAAAGCAAGCCTGATTACGATGAATGAAATATTCGAAAAGTCATTGAAAGATTTAAATACTTTTTCGGACGTTTCTTTAGCAACCCAAAAGCCGCTCTCGTCATTCGAAACTTACTCTACCCGGTACTTTCGTTACTTAAGTGATCTAGTAGACTCTAAACTGTCACTTTTGTTATATTTGAAAATAGTGAATTTTAACCCTTAACAGACCAAGCGGAGTCCTCGGAAGACCGCACAGAGTTCCTCGCTCTGGTAGCGTATATCTCAGCAAAATTTAGAAAATACTAGTTAGTAGTTGTGCAACAAACGACTTAAGTTGATTTTTATATACATATATGTGTCTTATAGTCCATTTCCACCAAATGCTTAACAGCTGTTAAGAGCTCAGATAAGTTCCAAGAATTTTGACACTGTTGATTTCTTACATCTTGGTTTGTTACCTTCATTTGCTTGTAATTATTATGACCAATTACCACATTCTCTTTTTTTCAATAGGCGTAAATTGCAGTTAAGGCTTGGTGGAAATGAACTATTAGATTGGTTCTATGAAAAATAGCTTAAAAAAATAAATAAGTACGTAACAAAATTGGATTGAGTTAGACTTTTATAAAAAATGAATAAACATTAAATAAAGAAAGCAAAAGTAACCAAAAATGATCAAATGGTCGCTAGCTTATTTCTTTGTTCGCAAGGGTATATGAATGAATTTTTTATACTTTTAATCTAAATAAAAATTTATTTCCAAGAAAATATTATCCGAATACTGAAGTACTATATCTCCAAACTCCCAAAACTTTTATTTAAATAATCATCTAACGCAAAAAAAAAAACATAAAAAAAAATAAAAATAAACATGTAGTCTTCAGAAAACCCCAGCTTGGTAAGCAATGTGGACCACAGCAGCATGGCATGTTAAGGGTTAAAACCCTGTACATATAACAAATTGTATTGATTTTATCCATTTCGAAACATTTTTATTCTGGGGCTGCCTAAATCTGTTGACATTCTCAGATATTTCGGTTGCACGTAGTGGTTTCCATAGATTTTCTCAAGTAGGTTTTAAAATTTATCATTTTTCGAGAAGAAAATTTGTGTTAAAAGGCAAATATAATTTTAAGCCTAGTTGAGAAAACGGCCCAAATTAGCTTCTAGTTGGGAAATCTAAATCTTATAAACGATGTCGATAGCTCACAGCATTTTACTTGCTACATATTTCTAAAATTCTCCGTATATGTACCAAAATGAATAATACCATTTCACAACATAAGACTAGGTACATAGTTTTTTCATTAACAAAACATAAAGAATTTTAAACTTACTTCTTGCCGCTGGCCAGGAAGACATCCAATTCGGCGGACATTTTGCAACACAAAGCCTCCTGAAAGTGCCCCTGCGAGCAGTTCGTATTAATGAGATGTCCCTCTGCAAATAAAAACACAGATCAAATAAAAAAAAAATATGTTTAATGATTAAAGAAACAACAGAAATATCACCGAAAATCAGCTTAATTAGTGATAAATTCTCTAGCTAAGGAATATGTGCGTATGCATGTGTGTAAAAAAAAACACGTAAAATAAAAAAATAAATTCCGGATAAGCGGCAAAAACAGTAGCTAATACCATGGCGCATGCGCACACAGGCAGCCCCAGAGTACGGAGAAGTTCCCACCACAGCAAGAACGTACCAAGTATGGAGCTTATCTGCGCGGTTTGCCAGCGCCTGATATGGACTAGCCACCGCGGCGCAGATAGTAGTATGCCCGCACTGTGCACTCATACCAAAAGTGCGTTCCCCGTTCGTCACAAAACACCTTAATTGGACGAAAATTGTTGGAATATTTAAAATCGCCTGTTGGCACAATCCACATAGTATGCGCAAGCGACCGACCGACCGGCCGACCGACTCTCGTCGCGCAGCAGCTCCTTTGTCGCCACTACTACAAACTTATTAAAAAGCGAAAACGTTTGCGTTGACGAAGATTTACGCACATTGGCGCAATGCGATCGACTACGAGTCGTGTGTGTATGTGCAGTTATGCGAGAACCAGCAAGGAAATGAAATGGCGTAAGCTACCGCTTTATGTGCTAAAAGCGTTTGCAAAGCCATCCCAACTCAAAGTCAGGGAGCCAAGTAGTACATAGGCAACGGTCGCAGGAGGATACACACATTTTTCAAAATCCGACGCGCGTTTAACAAAAATTCAGTGGGCATGTTGTAGTCCTAATCAAAATTCCATTCGGATGCTTGAATGTGATGCGGCTGCCGCGAACACTCGCCGATCGCTTCACTACCATTCTGCCGCCCCAAAGCACACACTTACCGCGCTACTGACTTCACAAACCTACCCGGCGGACTGTCATCTTCCCATTCCTGGCGACTGCCGAACCTCCGGGCTTACTTCACTGCTTGGTTGGTTAGTTAGTTAGTTCGCTGGTTGGTTTGTGCTGCCCCTGCCACTGCGGTTGATTGCGACTCACTTCAAAGAATGCGATAAACGATATTTCGGTAATGACACAAAAGTTGCCGAAACCAGATCTTATTGCTGATTTTTAATTTATTATGCGAAACTCAACAATAACTTGAAGGTTGTATGCAGCTCAACCAGTTGACAGGGGCAATGAAGACCGTTGAAGGTTCCTCATTAGTCTGTTCATAATGGTGTATTAATCAAAATGCCACAATGCGGCAACAATAGCAATAAAAATGAGAAAAATTATAAAAAAAGTCCGCTTCGATAGGTGCTTATCGGGTAGGAATGGAAGGAAATCAAGCAATGCGCTAAGGCTGATGTAACCGATTTCAAAAATTATTTTGTTTGTTTTAGTTGGAAACTTTCCATACCACAAGTCTCAGACAAACTTGAAGGTATAGAAAGTAGTATATATGAGTGGCAAACCGGATCTTAAGCTAAAAAAAACTCACTAAACACATTATAGATCTTTCACCTTAGATATCTGCTGAGGTTTTTAATTATTTTCGTTACAAAAAAGTCTTAGCTCTACAGTAAATTCCAACTCACCTTGGAACAGCTCCAATTCAATATATGATCACTCCAGGGGTGTGCAAACACAGTAGCTCATTTCTACGCATGTCTCTGAAGAAATGGGTAGGGAGAATAAAATGCATGAAAGTCCCATAAACCTTACCACGGAAATCTAATATTTAGGTGCCAGGCGACACCTGAAAGCTTGGCTCTTTGATACACTCGAAACTGTTAAAGCTTACCAGTTATAGTGATATTTCCGAGAACTTTATGCTCTTGAAGCTAACAAAATATATAATTTCTTTGAGGTGACACCCAACAAAAAGATGTTTCTCTGGATCAGAGTACCGGAAGGAGGCCAATCGCTAAACTGGGATTCTTGATTTCGACCCATTGTGATGCCAAGGGATCACTAGGCCTCCTGATCAAACCAAAACTATAAATTTTGGCAAGATTTATGGTATAAGTTTTGCTTACCTTAGCCCTTCAGACAAAGCCTTTAGCGCCTAGACAACCAACTGATCCGAATTCCTAGATGGCATAGCAGCTAGTTTGCAGAGCTCGGCCATTGACTATCTCCTCCTTTTCAAATCAAACAAATTCTCGACTTGGTCCAAAACCCGACACCTCTTAAGTAAACCCTGAACGAAACATTCCAAGAGGACTGGCTTGCCCCTCGAACCGAACACTGCAATGTGACCTCCAAAGTTTCAAAGTTACTTTCAAAAAAGTATTCCCTTCGTGCTAATTTGCGTCACTGCCTACCACCTGAGGAGTCTAATTTATGTTTTTGGCTTATTTACTCGACCTCAGGCCCATCTTCGTATCCAACTTTGCATTCGACCTGAAAGGGTTGTGGGTTCGCCGATCATCTCCGCATGGACTAGACTCCATACCCTAATCACGACTGCATACCTGGCAGTCACGCTTTATCGCTCCTGGCCCACCACAATGGGAACAATTAATCTCCTTCTTACACGCCACCGAAATATTTACGGCCATTGAAAAACCAGGCATTTGGACCCGCCCTAAGCCCATGGCGCCCCTCCGATCCCCGTACTGCTATTCCGCAACCTTACAATCCATCGCGATATAAGCTACGGCAGGTTCCAAACAATCTCTTGTCCTTATAACTCGATAAAGTATAAAAGTTCTTTGCTAAATTAATGTTGTCAAAGCAACTGCTCTTATCTAAGTACAAACGAGAACTAAGCCATCTGTCGATTACTTGGAGAATGCTTAAAATAATATGAATAAAAATGAGATGATTTGATGACTGAAATTAATCCTCAAATGCTTGACCTGCCATCAAATATGTTTACTTGCCCCAGCAAGTATTTGTTTTATATTTGCTCGCAAGGAAAATACGAGTTTTATTCCACACAGGCGACACAACAATCTTTTGATCGAAAACTAATGTGATGACATTTGTTACAAATACTGCCAAGCACAGTGGTCAGAGGAAAAAGACGTATACACTTACATATATAGATGACCACTGAGCCGAAAGTGCGCTAATGTTGACACATGAATCAAACAATCCAGCGCAGGCAAACATACAAATGGGTCTATAGACCTATATATATATATATATATATATATATATATATATATATATATATTAGGGATGTGCCGCGTATCCGGTAGATATCCGGAATCCGGCCTATACGGCCGTTTTTCGGTTATCCGGTTATCCGGCCGGATACTGGCTAATATCCGGCCGGATTCCGGATATCGATTATAGAAGATTCAATTTAGAAATTTAACCCAGATTTTGTATTTTTGTAATCCAATTTAATAGTATCGAATTAGTAATCAAAGTTAACAATTTGTATATTTTTCATTATGAAAAGAAGCATTTCCGCATTATCGGGCAACAACCTATTTCTATATTCAATAAATGTTAACCGATGCACTAAATACTCTTTCCGAGTTCACTGAGGAAGGGGGCGCGCAGAGATAGTTCATTGCCAGTGTAAACAAATTTGGAAATTCTTTGCGGCTATATTTCCACCAAGTTAAGGGATCTTCTTGTCTGGATATAAGAGGTAGCTGCAATTATTTCTATATTTCTAGTTCATAAATCGCTGCCTTTTTTCTTGTACGTTCGCTGCCTTGTCTACTAGTCGTTTGGCTATCCATATAACTAGAAACACTAGAATCAGCATCAGAGCCGTTAGCGATTTCCTCAAAGCATTGTCAAATATCCTCGTGAGCTCGATCTTCTTACACAGAAGACAGTTTGATCAAACAATTTGACCATGTAAGGTCCATATAAGGCATCAACACACATGTGCGATTGTGACGGTGTGAATCTGTTCCGAAAAACTTACAACAATGCCGCAACTATTTATTGGAACATTCACAGCTCTTCATTTCGTCGTGCCGAAATTGCAGACCTACGCGTTCGGAAACGAAAAAGGTTAATAGGCGAGCTCTGTATAATTTAAACAAAAATTAACGTAAGAAAACAAAACATCTTGATTGTTCAAAAGCACAGAATTTTATGAAGATTGTTTTTGGTTTGTTTATAAGATGCCATTTTTCACTGCGATAGCATCGCACAGATGTGTGCGTAATTGTGTTTTCGGAGGTCGAGGTGAACTCGAGCCGGCAAAAAAACAATATTGTGAAATTTATTAAGGGCAGCAGTCTACCGGATATCAGATCGGATATCCGATTTCGGCTGTTATTTTTTACAGGATATCCGGAATCCGGTTATCCGACAAAATCTATATCCGGCACATCCCTAATATATATATATATAAATATGTACGAGGGTCTCTGAATAGATATTTCTTTCGTAACACCAATGCCTTTCTGAATTTTGCATTGTAAAATTTCGACGCAGATTAACACAAAAACAAAAGTGTGTTCGACTTCAGATGATAAAACACCATCAACGCTATGCGCAGGACGATACCGAAAGATCGTCGAAATTTAGTGAAATTGAGACGGCACCAGGCACTCACGCATCTATCATACATTCAATATTTCCAATGGAAATTTTGCAGGTGTTATACTCAATTTTATGGTTTCTAACGTTAATCTGGTTGGCTTTTTGCCAAAATTTCTTTGAAAAGTTGTTTAGAACGTCTCAGGCCTAAACTTTCGTGAACATACCAAACTCCAGAAAGTAGGTATCGGATACTTTTAGGTGGAAAATCCGAAAGCAGTTTTATACTAATTACACAGGAGAACACAAAAACAAAAAAAAATAATTTGAACCAGAGGGTAGACCCCATTATTTATAGGTTTTTGGGGTCGCTGAAAACGAATATAACCACAAAAATAACGTCAACGGAACATTTTCCCGCTACCACCCACTTACAACAACCCCTGGGGATTGAAATTTCATTTTTCACACAAAGTTGAGATGTATGCGTATTCGTATGTTTTTTTCGACCGTTGAAACCGAAAATGACTACAAAAAATTAAT